TTCCTGACATACGACTGTGTTCACTATGGCTATCACCATAGTGCAATGGTGACTCCTAAATCCATATTTTTTATTAAGGGGCGGGGTTGTCGACAGCTAAAGTTAGGTGAAACTGTGAAAGAAGGGATTCAGGGGGGGGGGACAACAGCTTCCAGTCCCCTGCTATGCTTTCTCTGAAGTGATCTGCAAATGATCAATAGTTGCTAAGGCAAAAACGTCTAATCAGTAGTGGGATTCGGGAAAGGGATGCAATAGCCCCCAGTCTCCCTGCTCCGCTTTCTTTAAAGTGATCAGCCAACAATCAATAGTTGCTAAGGCAACAAGGTCTAATTCATTAACTTTCATTTTCTTTCCAGCAACAATGTTGGTTTTTATATAGCTTTCAATCTGCTGTTTGGCATGGCGTTTCTTGCTTCATATTTTGTCGTGTTTGTCGTCGAGGAGCGAACGAACGGTGCAAAACATGTGCAGTTCGTTAGCGGTGTTGATCCCATTAGCTACTGGACTGCTTCGTGGTTGTGGGACATGGTGAATTTCACATTTCCCTGTATCGGAATTGTTATTTTGTTTGCATGTTTTAACGTTCCTGCGTACACAGGTAGGTCGAATTTCCCAAGCTATGACGTAGCTAGTATGCTTACTTGGTCAAGTTATGTAGATTTTTATGTACTCTTTGTAAAAACAGTAAATGTTCTGAAATCTACACAGCAGGACTGAAAATTGCAGGTTGGATTTCTCACTGTCGTCATGGTCGCCAAAACGATTCACTTGCCTTTGGCGACAAAACCCGAAAAAATTGAAATTATTTGCAACGCCGACTTTGATTCCGCGTTGTCAATTATCTTGCAATAAAACGTCATTTGCCTTATCATTCAGCCAATCCGAACGTTGTGATCCAATAAAGTTATTTTACAAAATGCTCGAGGATTCCTCGTAGTTGTCGAAATACTTCTTTGCAAGGAGAATGAACTCGACCCAAGCCCCTAATCTCTCGGCCAACCAACCAACTTTAAACAATTCCAATAGTTTTTGATGACAAAATCACGTCAAGGTTGCGATGTTGAATCTGCCATGCGACTGTGAGCCTGAGATAGAAACATACCTTAATACTTAAAATACGATCTTTTACAGAAGTATGTTTGGCAGTGGAGTTAGCTCAAAGCACTTATATTTGTCTTTTTAAACACACTTTTCACTTGAAAATTCGTGGAAGCACAGAATTGCATGTCCAACGTCACATTTAGCTCTCGGTCAACCCTTAAAAATTCCAACAATTCCGTTGGAGTTAGCAACGTTCGGTTTGGGTGAGTTTTCTTATTTCGCACCATTCCTCAACAACTGATTTTTAATTCATTGCAGAAGGCTATCGTCTTGGAATAGTTTTCCTCGTTTTGATGCTTTATTGTTCAGCCATCATCCCGTTTATGTATCTCTTCTCGTTTCTCTTCAAAACGGCGTCGAAGGCTTTCAGTTTATTGACGTTGTTGAATTTTGTAATTGGTGTTGTCCCCTGGCTTGTTGTGTTCATCATTCAGAGTAGTGGTTACCATCACACGGTTGATGTCCTTAACTGGACTTTTTTGGTACTCCCCAACTTTTGCCTCGGACAGTCGTTCTCCAATATTTTTGAGAATTATAACCGTATCAGACTTTACAATATGTGCATGGAAAAGTATGCGCCGGTGATGTGCATGCCTCTGAAAGCGAGGATTCAGACGAATTATTTGGCCTTTGAAAATCCTGGGATTGGTCGATTTCTCTTGGTGTTACCACTTGAAGGAATCTTCTTCATGCTTATTATTCTGTTCATCGACTTCAACGCTATTCGGTCGTTGCGAAGTTCCATTACATCGGTGTACGACAAACCGTTTGACAGCATGCATCCAAACGATGAAACGGAAGATTCCGACGTGATGGCGGAAAAACGACGAGTACTCAACGACGAAGTGAACGATGACGTGCTTGTAGTGAAAGATCTTACGAAAATATTTAAAGTTCCAGGTAGAGAATTTCGCCTTGCTGTGTTTTAATAGCTTTCTTTTGTAGATGTGTTGAAAAGAAAGCCTTCTTTTATCAGCCGAAATCATATTAAAAAAAGTTTCGTTTTTTAACACAATATTTTGGAAAGTTAAAAAAGATGGTCGCGATGAGTTCATTGTGCTTGATTGAAAATATAATTTAACAATTTTTTACCACTAGAAAAGTCTTCACATACGAATCGGGCTTTTAAAGTGTCTATGAAACAAAAAGTTTGCTGTTTTAATAATGGTTTTGTTGAAATAAACTTTTAGAATGTCAGTAGACTTTCCCTTTTCCTATAAAAGAACAAAGCTCTTGCTTTATAAACACCTTATTTTTTCCCAAAAAGGTCGTCAAAGACTTGCTGCAGTTGATCACATCAGCTTGGGAATACCTTTAGGTGAATGCTTCGGTCTCCTGGGAGTCAATGACGCGGGAAAAACTACAACGTTTAAAATGTTAACAGGCGATGTGATTCCAACTTCGGGCACCGCCGTCCTTGACTCGTGGGATATTCAGACTAATTTAAGTCGGGTATGTTTTTCTTGTTGTATACGATCAGTAGCGTAGCCAGCCTGCAGATTTACTTCCGCTATGTAAATTTTTAAAGATTACTATTATTCATTTCTTTAGAAATCTATTTTTCTCACTGTCGGTAAATACAAAAATATTACGAAAGCATAAGTGAAAAGTCGGGCTTGCTACGCTACTGTATATAGTCAGGCAGATAAGTGAAGAAAATTGAGTAAAAACTTACCATACCTAGGAGCAATTTCATTTTATGCTAGAATTGTAGTTAAACACCTTAAAAAACTATCCGAATAAGTCGGCGAGCAAAAATGTTCTTGAGAAGACCGACTTAACTAATAACTTTTACTGACAGCGTTTGGTTTGTTTTGAGAAGCGCCATGATTTTTGAATAATTTTGCACGAAGAAGTGAGACTTGGCTATTTTGATCAGCGGCACTTTTTCTATACTTCATATAAACTACCTAAAAACTTTATGTTCGCCTGGCATGTATTATCTGACAAATCTTGTCTAGAAAACGAAAAAATATACCGTTTGAAGTTGATGTGAGCATTTCACAGTCAAAAGCACAAAAAACTCTACATCAAATAAAACATTTATCGCGTGCATTCTTCAGTGCAGTGAAAAGACTCTACGTGAATCGATTATTACGTTCAGTGACTCGTCCAAAAATTCTATCTACAACCTGCAAAGCAACGTGAGGATAAGAAACTTATTGCAATAATCGATTATTTTGGTGAAGATCTTCCCTCGCCAGAGTACGGGTATCATCAAAAATGTTATAAAAAGTATACTCACGGAAAGTTAAAAGTCAAAAAGCCAATACGTGAGCGACAGCAAGAGTCAACAAGAAAAACAGATCGAAGAGGTATAACTCGCGAATGTCTCTTTATCAGTAAGACGCTAATTATAATTAAAAGTTAAAGTTTATTAAGTAACTTATGTAAATATATGTAGGTAAGATATTGGCAGATCACGAGTGTTGTGTGTGTGGAAGAAAAACAGCAAAAGATGGCAAAAGAAGGCAGTGGTTATGAGCAATTGGAAAAATGCGAGACTGAGAGTGGTACACGATGTTTGCACGATGCTGCTCTATCGTTCGATTTTCCACATTTGCAAACAGAGGTTGAGAATTCAGAATGGCAGACGATATTAGCAAAGGAATATTTTTACCACAGATCGTGTTATAGGGAAATCTGCAAAAAGCGCAAGACTAAACCAGTGGCTTCCAGCAATGCTGAAACTGTTTTTCAGGAGCTATCTGCCGTCTTCGAAGAGAAGCTAATCCTTGGGTGTGAAGTTTTGCGGATGGTTGATTTAACTAAGAAACATTTAGAAATTGCAGAACGTTTATTTGGTGCTGAACATCAGCTTAGCTCACCGAAACTACAAGGCTTAATAATAAGATCCAGAAATATTTTGGTTCAAAAGTTGGGTTTTGAAGTCCAAAGTACGGCAGTGAGTATTTGTTTAATAACAATGTTGAAAAGGGGAAGTTAGTTGAAGTAGCTGTTAAGGCAAAGTTATTAAACCATAAATGGGACCACTTATCGCTGAACGAGAAAACGATGCAAGTTGCCCATGAAATAACATGTTTTTTGAAAGCAGTCCTCACTAGTAAATCAACGAAATCCGCAAAGGTGATGCGTTTAGTGTCTTCAATTGGACAAGATCTGATCTACCACGCCATCAATGGTCGGAAAAAACGTCAAAGCAACATACAACCTTTCCTTTCTGCATCTAAAGAAAGACTGGCTCCAAAATAGCTGTCAACTAGACACAAAAGTTTGGCCACGGGATGTCTTATGATGATGTGCTTATTCTTGAAACTTCTCTGGTAATGGAACATTCAAAAGACCAAGTTCACAAGTTCTTCTCTCCAGCCATTATTCAGCCATCTCAATTCGTCACTTTTGTTTGGGATAACAACGACATCAATCCCGAAAGTCTCAAATGGCTTAGTTTGCACTGTACAAATGGCATTGTCCTCCAGCCATCAGATGTTGTAATAAATGAGTCTCAGCCCTCTTCTATAGTGTCTCCACAGTGATGTATGAAACAAAAAACGAAAAAGTTCCAATCTCTTCTAACAGAGATACCTTCGTATGTTCAGGTGAAGCGAAAAAACACAGAAGTCACGACTAGCAGTCAGCTATGCATGCACAAAGACGAAGTGAAACTCTATTACATTTTTGATACGCTTTGGATCATCGCCAGAACTCAAGTCAATCAAACAAATTTTGAGCTGCATATACTTATTTGGACGGGCTTTAATTATTTATTGTGCGACAACGACAGCAACAGCTACCATAAAATTGGATACCTGCCGTCGATTAATAAATCTCTAACGTCCCATGATACTGTACTGGAACTCCTCCGTCAATCAAAGGTGAAGACAGAAAAACTTGGTTTGATCGAAACAGATGTGGTGCTAGATATGGCATAATACGCTATGGCTTTGGAAGTTATGATGAATCCAAGGTACATAGATCTTAAGCAGTTCGTTGTTTTGCGGCTTGGCGGGTTTCATACAATGTGTATATTCATTGCTGTTATCGGAAAGAGGTTTGCTGCTGCTGGTCTTCTTGACATCGTAATTGAGGCAAATCGTCTTGGTGAAGCAATCTTCCCGGTGACGGAGCTGCCACTCTCGGTAAGGTCCTCTATGTTCTCTTTGTGTTTCACAATTTTTTTACAACCGCTTCTGACGATCTCATCACGTCCATCGTTTCCTTGGGGGAGAGGTTCACAACCTATACCGATCTACGTCGCTTGTAGCGGCCCCCTTGTGTTGGCGGTATTGCACAAGGTTTGTCGGCCATTGCTCACCTGGTGACGTTCCTTCGCCGCAAACTCAAAATAAGATCATTTAATAAATAAAAGAGTTTCATGACGTTTGTTGTAATTTTGTATTTGTTTTCTTCCTTCTCAAAAGCAAGCGATGACATTAAGTATTTGCATTTTTGATATTGCAGTGGTGTTTTTTAATTACGGGCTCTTCATTTTTCGACGCCATTTTGCGCAAAATTTACAGATTATCAAAATGCTAAACAAAACGGCGTCGGAAACAACATACAAGATATTTTTGCGTTGCCGACATGTTAAAACATTATTACTACGTTATGAAGCACAAATTGAAGGCATAGTGGAATTGCCCCTCGATGCGGTAAGGTTTTTCCTTCTGTCTGCCTGACTAACATGATTTGTTCGACCTTTCCCGCTTTAACTTAAATTGAAGAATCATGTAAAGACCATTGAACCAAATTTACAACTGGATGGGTACTTTACGTTCCGTTATATATTTATTTCAATTATCTGTCCTCGAACTGTGAACATGATATCCTTGTACCGAGGCGCTTTGACGCCCTGAACCATTTGTGCGAAAAAATGCAGTGCGGGACGACATGCGCGAATAAAAAATGGAAAATCGCGGCTTGCAACAGCCACGCTAACGCGCGACGCCCACACACGTCACGTGACATTCAATTTATTAATCATCAAATAATTCAAAGCGCATGGCTACGAGGCTGATCCGACATCAAGACTTTAAAGAAGTAATTCATCCTTAAGGAGACGTACACGCAATTTAAAGGAATTTTGTGGTTGGAATTTAGGATGTAAATTAAATAAAATTCGTAGTTAGTTTTGTTTGTTTAGCCATCGTACTAGTCTCGAACTAGTCATTACTACGTCACTGCGGAAAAAGTTGAACAGGCAATGGTATGCAGCCATTGAAGAGGCTGTTATGCAAATTTCATATTCGCAGATTTTTCAACACTGTGGTATGTCACTACTCTTCTGTGAGTAAACAACAACACAATTTTTGCCATTTTTCATGACATCTACATTGTAAATAACGAAAATCTTTGTTGAAATCACCCAACTTGACGCGGCTCATGACGTAAATGCATGCCAGGAACAGGCAAATATTTTTGACCGCGCCGATGTTATTTTCTAGTGGTAAATTTCTTTTGCAATATTTAGTGTTGACGTTGCAATGTCTGTTAAATTTCTGTTGCAATATTTAGTGTTGCTCATTTACGAAATGGAGCTTCGCATGTAATTGTTCAATAATATTACGACGCAAAACAAGTTGTAACCAGCCATAAATACAAGCCAAGCGAATTACATTTGACGTTCAAAGATCGAACAACTAACTCTTACTTACATAACAAATAATTTCTTACTTGTTCATAAATGAACTCCCTTTTCAGTTGTTGCTTGTGTCGGCCACTTAGGAGATAATTGGTCAAATATATTTCAGTTTCTCTGCAGAACAACCTTGTAAAATATAAACGTTTCAATGGTCCGTTGTATTGTCCGCCATTTTGGTTCTTCTCCCTCCAACGAAACCACTTTATGTAGCGAAACACAGCCTTAGCACAGTATGAGGAATATATCGAAGATAACTTCATTGACATTTTTTGTGCCACCCGTATTATTACCACAGTGTAGTGGCTCAACAGGATGTTTCGACAAAACTGCTCGTCTTTGAAATCAGCCGACGTTCAGACTTTGCATGATTCAGCAATAATTGATCCCCAAAGACCTGTAAACGCAATTGAAGACAATAATACATACGAATCGCGGCTACTGTTCGTTGCAAATTTCAAGCATGAAATTTATTTCAATTGCCGTTACGCCTTTGGGGCTGATTACATGAGCCCGGGTAGCCGGGATTCAGTGAGGCGGCAAATGATTTTGGCAAATGGAAACGATATAATACTTATCATCAGATAAATCTTTTCGAGAAATTTTACAATATTCTGATTTAATAACTACGCAAAACATTTAAAATTAAAACAACCAATTTGGCCTAATTTGAGAATTACAGCAGGAATGACTTGCGGCATTTAACAAACAGTTCTAGTTTTTGACTTTGAAGTTTGCCTCCTATTAATTCCTCGAAATCATTTCACGCCTCACTGTATCCCGGTTAACCGGGATCATGTAAACAGCTCCTTAGTTGCGGATCAATTACTCCTGAAACAGGCAAAATAAAAACGTCGGCTAGTTTCAACTGTGTAGAGAAAGGACCTTCTTTATGTTCGTTATTCTGTAGCCACACCATAGAAAACAAACAATACCATTTGGCTGCGCAACTTGGTGCTGTATATTTAGTACCGACTGTGGTCAACCATTGATAATTGGGGGGAGAGAGTATTGATATATGCATATATGATTATGACCCCCCCGGAAACCCCCAATTATCGATCTTCCTACGTTTCCACCATTGTGTCAAAAACAAATACTTCAATTGGTGACAAGTGCCTTTGTAAACGTTATTTTCATGAGTCAGTATGCTTCATGTTTAAACTTTGCGTGTTTTGATGGCCTGATGCAAACACGAGCATCGACCAATCAGAGCACGCGTTATACATGTTATTTTGTAAATGAAAATTATAATTTTAAATGTAAATTATCTTGTTTACCAAGGTTCGTCAACGAATAGGCTATTGTCCACAATTTGATGCTTTGATCGATTTATTGACGGGACGGGAGATGATACAAATGTATGCTGCACTTCGTGGAGTCCCCAGTCATGAGATCAATCCATTGATTGAAGATTTAATGAGATCAGTGTTGCTAACGGAACATGCTGATAAGTTAACTAAAACATACAGGTATAATAGAAGAAAATGTCGTATATGTACTATAAATGCTCACCCGAGGTTTTGCCATTTATATATTCATTTTGTTTTATTTGACGTTGAAACCTGAGTATTTATATACTCCTGTGTAGTTTCTTTATGAGGAGTGATCTGCTGTGCAACTTTAGTCCTTATATACTCCAGTCTTGTGTCTTTATCTGGAGTGATCTGATGTTGAAACTTTAGTTCTTATGTACTACAGTGTAGTGTCTTCATCAGGAGCGATCTGATGTTGAAACCTGAGTTCTTATATACTCCAGTCTTGAGTCTTCATCAACAGTAATCTTTCGTTGAAACTTTAGTTCTTATACACTCCAGTCTAGTGTCTTCATCAGGAGTGATCTTCTGTTGAAATTTTAGTTCTTATATACTCCAGTCTAATATCTTCATCAGGAGTGATCTGATGTTGAAATTTGAGTTCTTATATACTCCAGTCTGGTGTCTTCATCAGGAGTGATCTTATGTTTAAATTTTAGTTCATATATACTCCAGTCTACAGTCTTCATCAGAAGTGATCTGATGTTGAAACTGTAGCCCTTATATTCTCCAGTTTAGTGTCTTCATCAGGAGTGATGTTATGTGAAAATTATGCATGTGGCGCGTCGAAAATCTGCCATCTTTTTATAACAATCTTAGGCTTCTTAGTTCACGAAAACAAAGATTACCTTTTCTTTTTACAGTGGTGGAAACAAACGCAAACTAAGTACAGCGATAGCTTTGATTGGCGATCCACTCATAGTTTTTCTCGACGAACCAACAACTGGAATGGATCCTGTTGCAAGACGACTGTTGTGGAACACTTTATGTAGAGTCAGAGCCGAAGGTATGAAACTGGTGATGAAGTGGGTTTCCTTCCGGGGGGGGAGATGTGTTGAAGAATGCAATTACATGCAGTTCTTACCCGCCTAATATAAGCACCATTTTGGTTATTATTAAAAAATGCCAGAGTTAGCGTTTTTAATTATAATTTATTTTACTTCATCCTTCAAACATTGTTGGCCAATTTCATTTTCTGAACAACGGCAGTATCAACGTAACACGAATGGCTTTTAAGATAGGTTGAATCAAACAATAGCGATGAACACTAACTATATCGATGATATTGATAGATACTGAGCTTATTGACTTAAACAGGGCTCCCGCTACTCCTTTAACTCGTTGAAAAGCTCTTGAATCTTAATGTGTCTCTAGTGTATTTGAAAAGCCCTTGAAGCAAGACAAAATGCCAAATCTCCTTGAAAACTACTTTAGTTTTGACTTTGTAATCGTATCTTTCATCTTTTCAAGTAAAAATAGTAATAATTTGGGCAATTACTAAGCGTATTCTTTGCCTTAATTTGCGAGTTTATCACGATAGTAATGAAGTCACAATTAAGTGTCTTACCTTTGCGTATTTTGTCTGTGTCTTATCTATGCGTATATGTCAGTTAAATTTATTACCTGAAAATGCATAGAACGCATGCTGAGTACGACAGAAATGCCATCAAATAAATTTGAATTTGGTCTTTGAAAATCGATATTTTTCTCCTTGAAAAGCCATTGAAAAATAGATCTGCGACGACCCATGAATTCCAAACCAAACTCCGTGCCAACACTGAATTCGTAAACTTGATCTGGTGTGTGAATCGAAAAGCCGTAGCCGAGCGGGGCCTCGTATTCGTTAAAACCCGAGGTGACGTCATAGCCTTTCGTGCCTAATACAAATTCGCCTTTCGGGAACGCGTCCTAGAAACCAGCAACGCATCAAGGGGTAAGTAACAAAATTTAAAATGACAACAAGTCGTCATCAACCACGTGATCACAATCATACAAGACCACGCCGCTGATTATTAAATATATTACAAACTATTTAAATACAGTGGGTTGTGTACTCGTCTTAATTTTATAAAAAATATGTGCACAGAGAGATAATTAAATTTGAGCACAAAGTAGCGTCACAACAATACGAATTGAAGTGAATCTTTTACATCAGCAATTTCCAGTCTTATGACACAGACATTAGGATATAATTACCGTTGCTTTCTCCAAATACATAACTCGACGACCATCTACACAAAGCCATCTGTCTTTCCAACCCTTATCCTAAAAGGAAATTTGATACCAGTTAGAAAGGTCTCGGCCCCTCGCGCAGTCAGACATCCATCATCCGTCACTTGCTTGAATCGAAATCTAGGCGTCATCTCAGGAAGATAGATCAGGCACGTGCTCAGAATTGTCAGATTGCATCGGCTCACGTCGAATAAAGGCGCATAGGCGCTCAGCGAGATCCCGTCAAAGGCGCGTCGCTGGCGAGATCGATCAAGGCGCGTGGATCAGCGGCATCCTGCGGCGTCGCTAGAGATCGAATCAGGCGCGTCGGCTCGAGAGATCAGATCAAAGGTGCGCGTCATTTCTCAGATCAGATCAAAATCAAATAGATCGAGGGCGTGGCTAGAGAGATTGAATCAAAGAGAGCGTCGCTCGACACGTCGCTCAAAGATCAGATCACGCTCATCGCTCGAGATCGAATGATGAGAAAGTCGCTAGAGTGGTAAAAAAGAAATCAGCTCGACGCATCATGCAGGATCTGGTCAAGTCGTATGAATTTGTGTTGAACAATAAAATGGCAGTTGGCGAGGAGTATTTGGGTTACGTAGTCAGTGCAATGCGAATAAAAATAGCTTTAGGTAATATATAAAAGAAATACTATTTTACACCGCCTAAAGCGACAATGAATATTCTCCATACCCTTGGTCCTCGTTTTGAAACTTTACTTCCTTACGAACAAAATCTTTCGTCGTTATCTTTACCAACTAAAATGTATATTTAATTGTAGACCTCAAAACTCGAAAAATTACCATAAAAAAATTAACCTCTTTTTCATCGACATCGACATTGCCAGCTTTCAACATTTTCAATTTAGCATAGCGTATTGTCATGTACCATTCGACTATTTCCTATAAAAGCGAATGTGCAAAGAATGTTTAAATTATATATTAATTTATTGAAGACAGCTTATAAAATATCAGAACATTCCTTTAAACAATTTTTATGCCTATCTCTTGTCATTCTACAGATGTTGAAGTTTTTGTTATTTCCAATCAGTATGACCATATATGCAAATATTTCACTAGATTTGTCGTGATGAGCTTAGACTCCTCACCTGCTTTATATAGTGGCAAGCTCAGAACAGGAGAATGTTACGCTCAATTGATCAGATACGGTTAGAAATTTGCATATGGTGGCTAAATCCATCTTACACATAAGACTCACATAAAATTTGAATTAGAATTTTATTAAACATCTTTTTTTTGCAACTGAAGAGGTTAAATTACAAAAATCCTTACAGATAAATTTTAAATAGCTAATTTTTATACTTATAATCATAACCAAAAGACAATTAAAAACTAATATCTAGTAACAATTACTTCTTGTAATGCTTTGTGGTAATAAGGAATTTTTAAAAGTTCAGTCACGCAACAAAAATGTTGGTAAGATCCACAGCTTCGTACGTCGATAGTTCTTTTTGGCAAAAGTTCATGGTGTTTAGGATTCATATTATTGTTCATAATTTTTTTTTGCAAATGTAATTTTTTAGTGATTTTTTCCACATTGCATAAAGAATTTGAACTAATAGGTTCAATTGCTAATATGGTACTTAAGGTGGCTGTCTTCCCACTGTTGTTGTAGGTATAAATTCAGCACAAAACATATCTCGCAAATCTAACCATATTAACGAAAAAAAAATTAAAATATTTAGCCACTCATCATGCGTGGGATAAAACGCCATTGATAATGTAAATCTAAAATTCAATCTCAACATCTGATCTGAAAATAAAATGAGAAGCAAAATCTTTTGCAAGTTGGCTGTTAAAAAATTGTCATTTTAAAACGTAAGTTCGATAAATAAGTACATAATCTAAGCATAAACATATTCGTTTCATTTTGATTTACAATAAAAATACCATAAATGAATTGCAAGGTCTCATGACACTAAACAAATTCAATGATGCACGAAGGTCCAGTAGCAAAAAAGAATTAAAGTATGCTGGGGGAGGAAGTCACATCTTATGAAGAAAGGTCTAAAAAATTTCATGAGTAAGGTAAAGTGTACTAAATTACTTTATACCTTATATTCTAACTAACCTAACTCAGCCTAACACCTCCAACCAGACCTGGCCTATATCTACAGCTATTAATACAACCCTGTATACACCCAATCCCTAATCCAAATCCAAAGCCTTGCGCTAACCATATCTGGCCTGTATCAGCAGCTGAATATATTCCTCTATATACCCAATCCCTAATCCAAATCCTAATCCTAACTTAATCATTACCTTGCCTTTATCTGCAGCAAATGAGCGAACGAGTGAGGCAAGCCGCCATCTTGAAATGTGGAAAATTGACGATATATACGACTAAAAAGCACTCTTCCAACCTTCTTTTCTTGGTAGGGAGTCTGCAGGTATCCACAATACATGCTACAATTCCATTATGAAGTGCGATAGTGATATCCGTAAGGATCTCGACGCTAACACTGTCCTCTCTGGTGGGTCAACCATGTATCTTGGTATTGCTGACAGAATGCAGAGAAATCACCTCTTGCCCTCTAGAAATCAAGGTCATTGCTCCACCAGATAGAAAATACTCTGTCTGGATTGGTGGCTCCATTTTGGCATCACTTTCCACCTTCCAACAGATGTGGATCTCGAAACAAGAATACGATGAATCTAGACCTTCGATTGTGCACAGGAAATGCTTCTAGAAAGGGAAAATATTATGGAGTTTGTTGACTAACGTAGCATCAAAGTTGAAATAAATAAAGCTTTTGTTGGTTTTATTTGCTTCCTTCTTTTGTATGAAGACCTGATTTTCATGTTTTCTTTATTTATATCTGTAAAGTTATTTGAATTTTAAATTGTGAAATTTTGATGATTGAACACATAATTGAACAACAACACACTCCTCGTTGATTTTAGTGGCGAGCATGCGCTGTGGTGATAACACTAACATTTGACAGTCATAATGATAACAATATAATAACAAACATGGGACAGTCATATGACTAAGATGTGTAATGACCATTATGACCTCATCACCTTCCCAGAAAATGATTCATCATCAAGCCTTTACGAAATCTGGATGCTGATATAAAATTATTGCTACGGAATTCCTGTAAGTCTATATATGACATACGACCATACATAACATCGAACACGTTTGAAAGCCAAATTCGCAACTTTGTTCGTTTTTAGTCCTTACCAACAAACAAACGCAATCTGGTGAGCGTTTTTGAGACATTGTGAGTAAATAGAAGAATTATTTACATTTGTATCGATTCATTGACATTGAAAGTTGCTTGTAGTTTGTGATACAAATTTTGTACAAAACTAGCATCCGTCAACCGGCAAGGAGGTCTTACAGAGTTTCTCGCTGTCAAATCACAAAAAACCTTTTAAGTATATGAAAAGTCTTAATTATGATGCAATCGGGTCAGATGTAAAGCAAGTTACGTTAATTCGTGATTTAAAATAGCATTTTTCTGACTCCTGACTCATGAGTGTTAGCAAAGTGTCACGACAAAGATGGTGGAGTTTTTATTGTAAATGGTACTTTAACTGCTTTTTAGATCCTACGAGTTGATGGTTTTGCATTCGTGAGTTCTTTCGAAAATTTAAGACTATTTTAAAGGTACCAGTTAAAAACTTGCTGGGAGAATGTCAAAATTGAAACAACTTGGTCTACTGATATGAAAGAATTTCAAGCTTCAAAGAAAACATCCGATTGGAACCATTTTTCAAATAGGGTTACCAATCTCCGTGTCATTCATACTCCTGGCCTTGCGATTGTCCCTTGTCACTGATTGCCCAGCCTTGGTTTGGAATGAATTCAATGTAACCTCTCCACCACCTGCACTAAGAAGATCATTCTCTATAGGCTTGGCTGCAAATAATGCTTCTCAACTGTCACATGAGCTTTTCAACAACCTTACATTTTATCTTAATGAGCATGCTTATCCAGATCAAAATATCACCTTGCAAATATTTCCAAATGAGGATGACATGGTTAATGAAATAATGAGCTCCTCTGAAGGCAACTCTACCAAATACATTGGAGGTATATCCTTTACTTGTCTCCCATCAAAACAGGCTAATTTTATTAACTACAAGCTGCGATTCATCAACCCAAAGGGAGACTACTATCGCCGTCGTAAGAATGACTATGGCTGGTTGACAAAGTATGTTTTCCAGAGGTTTCAAATTCCTGAACCAAGAAATAAAGATGATTCCCATGGAGGCAGTCCAGACTATTATAGTACCGCTTTCTTGTTTACCCAACATGCAGTAGATCGAGCTATTATTGGACAGTTTGCTAATCAAGACCAAATATCGGTTATCATGGAAAAATTTCCATTCCCAAACTATTTGAAGGATCCCTTCAGTTCAAATATTCAATTTTTACTCCCAGTCGTCATAGCAATTGCTTTTTTGTTTACTGTACTTGTGATTGTGCGTAGTATTGTATATGAGAAGACACAAGGGCTAAAGGTAAGTTGTAATTTGTCTTATTTGCTGAGATCTTTTTATTTCAAAGCCTGCATCAAAGTCAGAGAAATAACTTCTTTAGATAATTAAATTCATATTAAGATCATTTTGCAATATATTTGATGGATGAAAAATTTTATCTTCCTGGAAGAGACAGTGCTACCTTTTAAATGTTTTCATTGATTGTTCACTCCAAAAATGTTGTCAAACTGAGCACTATTTCGACATCTTAAATTAATTTGTAGTTCAGTTTTTTGAGAAGATTTGCTACTACAGCTTTATTTCAATTCAATAAAAGCTATATCTTTAATTCATGTGTTCTAACAAACTAATTAAGTTAGGTATTTCATGTTTTTTAGGAAACTTTAAAAATCATCGGCGTCAATAATTGGCTTCATTGGGTGGCGTGGTTTATTCAAAGTTTTCTTATTTGTCTCGTCGCAGTTGTCATAATGACGCTTCTTTTCACGATAAAGTTTAACAGTAATGGACGTGTTATCGACAAAACAGCACCCACAATATTTTTCATCTATCTTTTGCTTTATATTACCTCTTCTATTATGTTTTGTTTCTTCGTAAGCGTTTTTTTCTCCAAAGCGAGCATCGCTGCTGCAGGTGGTTGTATAATTTGGTGTATTTCCGTCTTATCAGTCAGCTTCATTTGGGAATCCTACGAAAAAATGTCGTTCACTCTCAAAGCAATTGCATGCCTCATACCAAATCTTGGCATTTCTCTTGGAGCGATTGTCATCGGCAAGTTTGAAGGTAAGTTGAAACGTTGAAGGACTCTGTGTGTGTTGAACCGCTTTCGTTGTAAATTACTTTCATCTGAAAAGGGATGTTCTTCATGTTCATATAAGCTCATTAAGCCTTAGGTTTATTTAATAAGGATTCTGAACCGATGCTTCCGTGAATAATAAAGCGTTTTTCAACTTTTCTCAGTAATTCATAAAGAATTTATAAAGATCCTAGTAACCACAGTGTTAACAGCAGTTTACGAACAATGAGATGATTTCTGAATACTGGATGAACAAAGAATGCCTGTAGGAATTGACGACTTATTGTGATGATTTCATGACTATATTACTGATGGATAAAGATTCTAACTTGTCTGCTTCATGCATGTTTTACATATCTTTGATACAATCGCAAAAGCTTTTCTTCTCCTGGGAACTTAAAGCCTGGTTCACACGAGTGAAATAAGGATAAGCACAAGTGTAGACAAAAGATAAAACAAAGATAATTAACGAAGCATGTGACATAAGCATGGACATAAGCGCAAGCATAAGGAAAATATTTAAGAATAAGCTAAGAGAAAAACAAAAGAAGAACAAAAAGAAGATTTAAAGAAAATCCCATGATGTCTTCGTCTTTATAAACTTCTTGAGCAATAGAAAGAAAAGCCTCGAAACTCGTGCTTATTTTACTCGTGTTAACCACGCTTAACATTTAACGAAATTTCAAAGCTTCAAACTTCAAAACTTCAAAATAAAAGAATTGATTTGAAAGGAACATTTGACAATGCCTGTATGAATATACTCTATAATTATTAGGGATTTTGCAATACGACACGACAAGAGTACAGTGACCTGTAAAATCACATTATTTGTCGTTGTCTCGTCAAAATTTTGTTTTCTGTAAACACAGAACACTGTTTATTGTGTACAACGACGTTTGCAAGCACTTCACGGCTATATTTGTCAATAATGATATCAACTAATGATAATCAGTTTGCGAGAATATAGGACTTTTTAGACAAAAATCTTCACTATTTTAAGTTTAACGATATATTTAACTATTTTATTGTTTGTTACCTTTCCTTTGCGTACAGAAATACATGAAGTTTTGCTGGTCATATTTTCCTTTAATTGACTGCGCTCAAGGGTTCAAATTAAAGCCTGATGCTCGAAAATAGTACTGAAACTAATTTCTTACAGAATGGAAATATACCTACTTTCTTTGTAAAGACATCATAGTCATGACTACGAATTTTTACAAAACATCGTACTCAGATTGATCGGCTATTTTTGTTGTCAACAATGTGCCCAAAATGACTAAATGTACTAGCTACTCGTAGCTCTGCTAAAATTATTGAGCTTGACACCACTGTGCAGCGTTCATGTAGTTTTAGGCCGACATTGAAAACTTCAATTTTGTTTCTAATTTTACGTTTTCCTTTTCTCTAAATAACGAAAATACTAATCCCGCCCATAAGGTCAATCCTGCGATAATTGAGGTGACCATATTCATATGTTCTTTTATGCCAGTCTGATTTCTTTTGAAATGAAATTGTTTTAAAAGAAATTAGCTTAATAGCAGAATATATGAATGTACCCAATTAACACAGGATTGACATAATGATCCTGCCAAAACGTTTTTTACATTCTAGGATCCGGTAGCGGCGTTCAATGGGATAACCTTTTTCATGGTGTTGATGTGGACGACACGTTCTCCCTCGGGACTGTGTTCATCATGATGATTATTAGTTGTGCCATATATGGTATGCTTACATGGTATATTGAAAATGTGTTCCCAGGACAGTATGGTACTTCAAAACCTTTTTACTTCCCATTCACCAAGAGCTACTGGTGTGGATGCTTTGAAAAGGTAGCTTGAATTTTTGCTTAGCAACAGTCGTAAATACAGATGTTGATTGTGTAGGTTAGTGTTGTCCTGAGAAAGGCTGTTGGTGTTAGTGTCGTGGTATCGCTTTAACAATCTTCCCGGGCTTAAACTACTCGCCTTAACCGTTCGTGACATGAATTTTTTCGCCGCCGAGCAAAAGGTTAATTGTAATAAATTGTTATTGACCTCCTTGTGAAAATTGTCATAATATTAGAAATCGTATGTGTTGTTTTGCTTGCGTTGTCAGAACGGTCATGTTAGGCTACTGGAGTGTGAGATATCTTCCACGACTAGCAAAGCATCTGAGCATGCGCAGTTTAATAATTTTAAGAAGGTTCTGATGATTAACTTATCAACAGACGAGGTTCAAGTCAAGTCAAATTTTTTTTCGATGCGGAACTTAAGTGAAGCTTAGTGAATGCAGCTTAAAAAGTATTATAGGTTTTGGTGCATTATATTTGGAGTGATTTGGGTAAAATATCTTTCTGTCGCAGGTATCAAACGATGAAGAAACCTTGCCATTATTAAGAAATGCGGAAAATTTCGAAACATCGAAGAAGTTCGAAAGTGCTCCTCAAGGTCTGGATGTGGGGATTGACATCAAAAATTTAGTGAAGATCTATGACGGAGTAAAAGGTAGATGACCTGGACGGATTTACTGGGGGGGTGTAGGGGAGTGCAAGCCCACCAGGCATCAGATTTCACCCCCTTGAATAAATTGTTCACCCCTCCTTGAAACGTTTTAATGCGGAAAATTTCGAAACATCGAAGAAGTTCGAAAGTGCTCCTC